GATATTTTCGTGAATTCTTGTATAAGGGATTTGTTATGAGTAGCAAGACTGCATATCCTAATACTTTCACCACTTTACGCTAATTAAGCTAATTGTTCCATGCTGCAAATTTTATTACCTTTTACGAGTTTCATGTTTGACAGGTAGTTGATGATAATGCCCTTTCTCATTCATATTCCATAGTGTATTACGATTATCAAACTTCTCATGATAGCCTGTCTTGCACATTTTCATGCACTAGTATGCATGTGCACAGTGGAAATTAATTTTATTGGACACAGGTTGTTTAAGGGGGGAAGATGATGATCATAAATCCACCAATATAACGTTACAGCCAAAACTATGGTCATATGGTTATCAGGAAACAAATAATGAATTCCTCCAAAAAGCTGCTTAGGCATCTTGCCCAATCATTGCCTATTTTGTAGATATTGTATAGTGAGTTCATAAATTCAAAAAAAAAAAAGAGCCAAATTCAAAAATAATTAAATTACAAGATACACAAAACCAAACTTCAGAACATGCATTAAGTTTTTAAACTATGGAAGAGGTGTTTTGAGGTTGAGGTCTTAATTCGACTAAAGCCCAATCAATATTGTTAGATGCCCATAAATAATAGTCCATTGACATTGAGGTGATGGTGGATATATGATTTTCATTTTCATTTTTTTTTCCTTTTATTTTCTCCTAGACTAAGGTATTGCCAAAGCCTTCTTCCTCACTATTTCCCTATCATCAAGAAAAGGCTTTCCATTGCACTATTCTTTGCATTTTTTTGCACCGACTAATTGCCAAGCCAAATAAATTTTCCTAGAAGCTACTTTTTGCCAAGGAGTAAGAAAATCTTTAGTAGTGTATTTAGTTGCGAGGAAAGAAATAGGTGTGAAATAAAATAAAAAAGAGAAATAGATGAATAAAAATATGATAGAATAAGCTTCCAGGATGATTGGTGAATCCTCTAGTTTTTTCTTACTCCTTTGATTTCTTATCCACAAGATTTTTGAAGAAGAAGAAACTTGAAAAATGATAGAAAGATGTAGAGATGGTGGCACCACTTCTAAAGAAGAAGATAAGTCAAGAAGGTTTCTTACCACAAGAAAATGATCCTTGATAAAAAAAATTCAAATGGAATTGTATTCAAAGAGAAGAACTCTAAAGACTCTTGAAGTTGAGAGAAAATTCAATCTCACTCATATATAATTCAAAAGTGATGTCCAAAAGGGTAGATACATACATACACACACACACACACACACACACACACACACACATATATATATATATATATATATAATTTGGTAACTTGTGGTGTAAGTTAAACTAACCAAAGTTTGGTTAACTTATACTCGAGCTAGTTAACTCTAGTTCAAATTTAAAATTTGAATTTGAATTTTTTCTCTTAAAGTGGATGTCTGCATCATAGCTTTAAAAAAACAAATGAGAGTTTGTCATATGACTTGGTGCAAAAGGTGTGATGAAAGGGGGAAAGGGATGTTAGTAAGAAAGAGGGTGTAAAAGCAAGTATGCAAAATGTGTGACTAATATATAGAATATGTGACTTGGTAGGTGATGTGTGAATCTAATAAGAGAGTGTATGGTTCATAACTTGATGTCCAACTATTGAGAAAAAGACTTCTCACTCTCCATTGGCCTAAACAAGTCCAACAAACACATTTTTCAAATACTAGTTGTACCTCCTAAAATATTAAATATGCCCTTATAGACAAAAATTATAAGTAAATAAATTCTAATCTAAATTGCTAAAAAATACAAGGTCAAAAATAATAAAATATTTACAAAGAAGTGTTAACAAAGAAGAAAAAATGGACTACAAAAAGTAACTCAAAGCTCATCATGAGTTTGAACCTTCTTCATTCAAGCTCAACTCACTCCCATTGACTCTTATTGGATGTGACTCATAGGTAAGTTTCCATCATATCCTCCCTCTTGAAGATTATTTTTCCTCAAATTCAGAGCATCCTCTTCCTCTTCTTCAGCACCTACAAAAGAAAGTATGTCACGAGTATTAAAGGTTTATTGTCTTGATGAACATGAAATATGTCTAACTTATTGGTCCTTTCTAGATGTGAGTGGATCTATCCTTAATATATTTTATTTTCTTGGGACCCTCTTGAACCCTTTTTGACCTAACTAGAAGACCTATATTAGTATCTAAACTAAAACTATATTTTTCTAGTTTTTCTAAAAGAGGTTTTTCTCTACAATCTACAAAAATATGTCTTTAGTGTCCATGTGATCACCTAGGCTAGCTCCTAAGAACTAAACTATCTACAACTAACTTTCTTTGCATTCCTAAAGAAAAGTGACCTAGAGAGCCACCATGAATAAAAAGCTTCTTGAGAACAAGATGATGTCTCTAAGATTGGAAGGCTTGGAATAGAGTTTGAAACTCTTTGATATAGGTAGGGTAGTTGAGAGATGCACCATATGGAGTTATTTTTAAAGAAGTAATAGAATGTCGACCCTTCAACAAAATAACTCTCACACCTAATCTATATGTATGATATTCTAACTCAAAAGTTTTAGAAATGTTTGGAAAAGTTAGAACATTTGCATGAAAGAACTCACTTTTAATGGGTTAAGAAACATGCTCATCAAGCTTTTCACCCCAAAAGGAAGGAAGAATGTTCTTTACTAACTCATTGATTGGTGGAACAATTGATTGTTCAAAATAGAAAGTCCTCTTGATTTCACTTTTAATAAAAAAAAAAAGTGACTTTCTTTCTTAATAATCTTTGTAGAAGAGACATCTTCCTCCTTTTCACTCTTCTCACTCTTTGGGAGTTGTTTTTGTTTTCTTATTTTCTCCTTCTCCCATAAGCTTTATTTGTATTTGATCTTTTATCACTTGAGTAGGTGTAAGAGGATGTAATACAACATGCTTTACATATATTTTATAAAGTGAACTACATGATTTTCTTTTTTGTATTTTCAAACTTATCACAACATACATCAAACACTACTACAAGATGCATTATCTACATCGATTTTGTGAAATCATCTACATCGATTTTAGAACCGATGTAGAATAGAGCGACTTAGAAAATATATACATTTCTATATCGAGAGAAGAGAAGAGCGATCGCCAACGAGTGTTGAGAGGGTTTGCCCGCGTGAACATTTGGATTTCACTTCTACATCGGTCAAAATTAAACCCGATGTAGAATAACTTTCTCATTTCATTTCTACATTGGTCAATCACAAAACCAATGTAGAACTTTTTATATCTACATTGTTTCTCTGCAAAATTGTGTAAATATGTTTACATATTCTATTTATTTACAAAATTGCCACCGCATTTTTTATTTACATTGTTTCTATTGGAACCGATGTAGATATAACGATATTGAATAGTACTTTTCTAGTAGTAAAAATGAAGAGGAAATCAAAGGAATATGAATCCTAAAGACATACAATAAAATATGGTTCATATAAGACTAGATCTAAAAAAATGAACCATAAACTTTCAAGACAAAAAGTAGATCCAAGACTTAGCATACAATTGAACTAGATATACTACAACACAATATAACAAGATATAAAAGAAAGCATAAACATGATGAAAATAATAAAAACAAAGACTAGAGAACTTTTCAACATCATGAAGATGACCTTGCTCGAAATATCAAAAATGATGAAATAAGCTTCAAGGATGATTGGTGAATCCTCTAGCTTCTTCCTACTCTCTTGATCTTTCATCCATGGGATCTTTGAAGAAGAAGAAACTTGAAAAATGATGGAAATATGTAGAGATGGCGATGCCACTTCCAAAGAAGAAGATAAGACAAGAAGGTTTCTTCACTACAAAGAAATGATCATTGATAAGAGATTCAAATGGAGTTACACTCAAATAGATGAACTCTAAAAACTCTTGAAGTTGAGAGAAAATTTAATCTCAATCTCATATATGATACAAAAGTGACATCCAAAAAAGTGGATACATGTATATATAGAGTTTGGTAGCTTGTGTTACAATTTTTCATATACCTTATCTATACTCTCATATATACACATTGACACAAGTGTTGTTATCATCTTTGTTAACTTTTTTTTTTTACCTTTCTTATGATAGAGTGTTTTTATAAGGTCAAATAACTCTTTAGTAAGTTTATTTTTACTTATTCAATTAGTTATGACTTTATATTTGAGAGTTGTTTGATTAATTAAACTAAAATTTAATTAAACTAAAATTTAGTTGAAGTTATGATCCTAACAAACCCATCTTATAAAAATAGGATATTTCTAACTATCATCTAAAATGGATGGATTGTCCAAATAGTATAGATCATGTGATTTTATCTTGTGATTGAATTGTGGCAATTTAATACTTGGACTTTTAAACTAATGTAGTAATTAGTCATTTTTTTAATATATAAATCTTGTATATCTCACATAAAAGTAACATGTTTAACAAATTCTCACATTTATAAGAATGGGTATTGTTTGTGTAAATTTAACATGCATATATTTTTACATTTAAAAAATATTGTTTGTGTAAATTTAACATGCATATATTTTTACATTTAAAAAATATGTTAAATTATTATATGTGTACTTCATAATTAGTAGCATCTATGTATTATGGACCTTGTGATAAACATGTTAATCCACTAATATTACCATAATATATTTTTGCTAATAATATGTTGATAGATAATTGATGAGAAAATATAAATTGTCAAAATCTAAAATTTTGGGACATTAATTATAAAAAAGTTACTTGGGAACAAAATTCTAAAAAAAAAATAAATGTTTAACAACACAAATTACAATTAGATATATCATGTTATTAAACTTTTAGCAAACATATCATATAAATACTCCAATAATATTTTGATGGGTAATTAAAGAAAGAGCACAAATCACAAAAATCTAAAAATATTTAAAGGTAAAATACACAAAAAAAATAATAAAGAAAGAAAGAAAACTGAGAACTAAAAAGTAAAATTAAGCATAATAATAATAAATGATACGTAATCTATGAAATGGCAGAATAAGAATCGTAAAAACTTAAAGATTATATATTTCATAAGGAAGAAATTTCTTTATTTCTTCCCTTAATATTCTGAATACAGAATGAACTTGGCGAGTGATTCGAAATTCAAATCTACAATTTCTCTTCTTTTCCCTGTTCACTTCAATTTTGCTAGTTAATTAATTCTCTAACTTTACAATTCCAGCATGAAATTTCTGACTCATTCTTCAATTACAGTTAGCAGGAATCAACTGGCCAGTCTAGCCTAGTGTAAAAGTGGTGACACAGCTGCTGCACTAGGAGCCAACAAATTGATCCATCCGTGATCGATCCTTCTTTGCATTCAAAGTTTTCCTTCAACTCTTGATGCGCCTCAAAGCAAGGTAGGCCAATAATCTGTAGAACACAAACATGAAAAGCAAGACCCCAATGCACCCCAGAGTGCCAATTTGGCCCACCATATCCTCTTCAACAAACTTGCAGCCACCCATATCACTGCCACCATGATAGCAACCCAATAGAGATGATATCTTCTTGCCATCCCCATACTGGATTCTAGTGAGAAGCCTATAACAGTAGAAGGTTGTGGATATATATTTGATCCAAGCCATGCAAGATGGCACCTTATGGACATAGTATCCACCAGTCAACACAAATGCTAGCATTGTCACTGCTGCCACTGTGGAAGCCTGTTTGGCATCCATTATTGCTGCACCTAAAGCAAGGCCAAGACCCTGTGACACCATCACGTATCCAAGCACAACCAACAAAGTCAACACAAAAGCCCACAAATCAGGCTTTAATCCACCCATCCAATATGTCACAATGAGGAAAATGGTGGGAAGAATAAGCTCCATGGGAAGGTCTCCAACAATTCGAGCCATGAAATAGGAGGACAATGTGTACATGCCAGAAGCTCGCTCTTTCATGAAGATGGCACGTTCTTGAGGGAATGCAAAAACTGAGTTGAAGGACGGGAAAACTCCCCAAAAGATGGAAATGAAGAAGAGTAGGCCAAGCCTATCTTGAATGTTCCTATAGTCTGAGTGCCACCACATTAAACCAGCGAGTAATGCTGCAGCAATGACTTGGAAAACTCTCAGAGTGTTGAAGGATTCGTGCTTTCTTTCTTTCAGGCTTCTCTGGAGCAGAATACTGAATTGGTAAAACCAGTCAAATAAGCTAACCCTGTCGCTACGTCTACGTTCTTTTGAAGAACTGCTTCTCAAAGGGTGTGTGTTCTTTGCAGGAACACTGGCAGTGTCCACGCAGGCAGCTTTTACCTTGGGACCCAGTACTGTGTTGTATGATTGGATTAGGTTTTGCTTTATGTTTGGTCTATCTCTTTCACTTTGACTATCCACATGGCAAATACCTGCACGATTCAAGACCGAAAATAGTATATGAATAAGTTGAATCTAATTTAGAAAAATTATTTTATTTTATCTTATTAATTACTTAATGAGAAGTAATTTAAAGAAATTCCTATTCAAATTTCAAATTTAGGAAAAGAGGAGGTAGGAGTAGGACCACGACAAAGAGGTAGGAAGAAAAGATATTATCCAGTATCCACACTAAAACAGGAGATTGAAGATTTCTAGGAAAAGTCCTTATCCAAAGCAACATAAGTTATGTCATTCACATATTACATAAATCTATATAAAATTTTCAATAATATTTCTTTTTCTTTTCTCTCTTTCTATTGCATTAATCATCTTATCTCATTTTTCTCTCACTTCTCTCCTTACACTCTTTTCAATTTCTCAATCAATGGTATACATCGGAATAAACTATATATAGAAAGTGATAGATGCAGCACCATGGCTATGTCCTATGGAAAAAAATATAGCATTTAAATAGCCGGATATATTTACATAAAAAAAATACTGAAGCTGAAGAACCTACAAATTAAAGTATAGGATAGGTCGAACTAGGGATAGACTAAATCAAAACATGTTAAAATTAATTAAACATGTACTTGATTATTCTAAAAGCGGTGATTAGGGGCATGAACGTGCTTCAACAGGATAGTGGGACTTGTAAAAGCTGACTTATGTTAGTGTTATGGTGAGTCTCCACTAAGATTGGTGCTGGCACTGCTGACTGGGCCACCAGCTCCCACTTTCATTTGCATAATATCAATGTACCTATTTACTTTTATTTCATTAGACCTTTCTTCCATCAGACTTCACTTTCCGGGAGAAATGTTTATAAGGATGTAAAGCAACCCAACACGTGTAGCTCTATTACAGATCCTAAGATGGAGATTCTAAAAAAGTAGGAGGAAAAGAGAAAAAGAAAAAGTGAATGGGAAAAGAGAATCACTGAAAATTGGCCAGATCATTGTCAAAGAAGTGAAGGTCAAGTTTTTTTCCTTTTTTTTTCTCCAGATGTAATCATGAATACAGAACGGCCCCAAAGACCATGTTCTCGAGTAGGTCAAGAATAGTTTATACCAAAATTCAACTTTTATTCATATACTTCAATATTTTACTCGTCTATTCTACAATTCTTTTTTATAAGAAAGAAAAATTATTTTTCTCTTTTTTCAATAAAATAAAGATTTATTTGGAACATGCAACAATTATGCAGAGCAAACCAAGTACCAAACATAGGATATTGACAAAGATATATCCTAAACCCCAATTTAATATATAACTCTTATACTCTCCCAGGGCTAACCTTCTCCATATCCATAGAATACCAGATACTAATTAATCGTGGCTAAAATACTTGTGGGTTTATCACTATTTTTTTAGGGCAAACAGGGATTTAGTGTGCCACCTTTCCAGGTGCTCTGTATGCTTTTTTTTCTTTCTTTCTTTTTACCGCAGTTTGATGGTTTCTCACGCTATCAATGTCGTCATAACTCCTCCACCTTAATATCCATATTATCATCATGGTCCCAAGAATCAACCAAAAAGGTTAAGAGAGGCACATATCCTTAATAATAATCTTTTAGTGCCAAAGATGTTGAACCGCATGTAAGATAAAAATACCTAGTCAAAGAGCACTTACCATACAGTTATTTATGAATAAATAAATTAATTAGAGATTGTGCTTAGTGATATCACCAACCATCTATACTAAAAGAAGCAAACAGCAGCACATATAAAAAGGTCAGTTATCTACAACTCAAAGACTCCAGTCCACTACCTAAGCATTTGCAACTTTATACCATATGCAAGTTCTCTTTTGACCGTCCACAAAATAGATTGGTCCACATGGCAGCGTTTCCAATGTAAGTACTCTAATTACATCACTCCTTTAACAGATACTAAAGGTTGTAACTCGTAAATAAGTAAGAGAGCTTGTATATGCTAATAAACACAGAAATGAGAAACAAAGACGTTTAGTTGAAAAAGTTGGGCAAGGAAGAATAAAAACGAAAAAGAAAAGAGAAACATGCAAAATAATCCAAATGTAAGTTTGAAAACATAGCGGTTTATTGATTGTGATAATTAAACGCGCCAATACATATCTGCACCAAGAGGTTAATTTTCTACTCTAATAATTTATGGTCCTGCAGAAGCTCGACGCCTCAACTCAAATGCCTATTTTCGACATCACAACAAAAGTAGTTTTGATGCTGATGTTATTTTTTTTTCCCAAAGGTAGTAGATCAACTTGTTCCTGTTGAAAAGGATATGGTTGATGGTTCAACTAACAAGGGGCCATACCTGCATAAGTCCATTTGAATGCTTGATATGCGTCCCTGCTATTTTTCTTCCAATTTTGGAATATATTCGGACCCACATAAAAATTGGCACCAAACCGAATTTGAGTGGGAATTGGAAACTCTTATGACTTTCTTAAACTATCCTTTCATGTTTCCAAAAATGGGCTAATAACTAAGTTTAGTCTTCACTCTTACGAGGAAATGTATGCTTGTATCAATGGAGAAAAAGTGAGTGAAGAAAGAAATTTTTTTATTTAAATTTTAAGAAAGTAAAAGATAAGAAAATTACAAAATTTTGTCTCTAAATTTTAACTTTTTTTTTTTCATTTTCTTTTTAACAAAACACAATAAATTATTTATATTTTTTTTATTACTTTTTCTTTCTTCCCGAGCAAACATACATTAGTTCCCTCCATATCCTAGTAAATTCATTATTTCAGATCTAGAAAGAGAGACGCGTCCATCTTAATTCGAAAATATCTGGTAAATATATGGAGTTAATTTTTCTTATCAAATTGCTAGTTAGTAGTTAGATTAAAGGGAAAAATTGCATGCCTCTCCAGAGGAGGCAATGCTTATGATTTTGGTTTGGCGAAGAAGAAACAGTATTGGCTATGAAGAGAGGATAAACCAGAGGCATATGGAGTCAAATCTGGCTGGCCCCGGAAAAAGGAAAACCAACTGGCTATACAAGAAAGGCAAGAAAAAGTAGAGCCAACGACAGACAGTTCCAAAAAAAGAGGACACGTGGTAAGCATCAACCTTTTGTTTAAAATAAAGCATCCCAATATTGATGCGAAATCTAAACCCATTACGTATCTAATCGATTTGTTCCACTCATGACTCAACCTCACAAATCTTTTTCTTTCTCTCTTCGATTATACCCTAAAATATACTAGCACTTTTATTAAATGAAAAATTGATTACACCAAGAAAGACATAAAAGAAAAATATAACAAGTGATATGATATAAATAAAGTAAATTTAAAAGATGTATAGGTACCACGAATATCGTTATTTATTAGTGTCAAGCATTCTTTACACACAATAATCGACATCACATCACAGTACGAATGGCCAACTTATTGCCAGAAAAATGCTATCAAGTTCTTTGAACTACATCCTATTAGGTCCTAGGAGTGATCCGAATATTAAAGTGATGTCTACTTCCTGATTTCCAATAAAGAGACTCAACAAAGGAAAAGGAGGCATGAAGAAATGAGAAAGTAACATTTAATAATTCAAAATTCCCAAGAATCAGAAGATGAGTTATACAAAATTTAATATATTAATTTTACTAAATATTAATATTTAAAATAATAAACATTAAATATTTTTTGTTCATATCTTATATTTAAGCTTGGATTGAAGCCGACCTACTTACATATATATTATTAATTAACTAAACATGGGGCTTAATCACTAGGTATAAGCGAAGCAAGAAAGGCTCAAACGAGTGACAAAAACCCACAATATCATGCAATCATATTCATGGCAACAAGCAACACAGTTGCATTGTATGATGTCTGCCAGCCACAGTATATTGTCCAACTTAATGCCCTGAATGACGTTGATGAACTAGTTTATGTGATCACGTTCACACACTCACACCCATCATGCCCATATTCAAATAACATTCTACCCCACACACACCCGGATATGATATTCACTAAACCCCATCACCACTACCGCACTACAATCTACATCATATCAACTTATCAACCTCATTCACAATAACATATCACTAATAATTCACACCAATTAACGGAACGAATCAATTCAATATTCAACAGACACGAGTAAAAAAAAAAAAGTTAAACTAACCGTAATTAGTTAAGAAACAAGGGTTGAAACGATGACGTACCGTTGGCGAGATCGAGCAGAAAATCCGCCGGATTCATCGGAAAAGACGGCGCGAAACCAACCGACTCAAAGTAGCGCATGGCGTCGCCTCCTTTGCCAAAGTACAAACACTGACCTTCCGATAGCACCAAAACTTTGTCGAACATCTGGTAGACTCGGCTCGAAGGTTGGTGCACCGAGGTAACCACCGTCTTCCCCTTCTTCGCCAGCGACGCCAGCGTCGCCAGGAGCCGGTGCGCCGCCGTCGAGTCCAAACCGGAGGTAGGCTCGTCCAGTATGAGGAGCGAGGGGTCCACCAGCATCTCGTGCGCGATGCTCACGCGCTTCCTCTCCCCGCCGGAGACGCCGCGGATGAAGCTGTTCCCGATGATGGTGTTCTCGCACTTCCCCAGCCCTAGCTCGGCGATGGCCGCCTCGGCCGCCGCCATCTTGGCCGCGCGAGGCACCGCGCGCGGGAGGCGCAGCATGGCGCAGAAGACGAGCGTCTCGCGCACGGTTAAGTGCGGGTACAGGATGTCGTCCTGCGTGACGAAGCCGGTTCGGCGGAGAACCGGTTTGGTGAGCTTGGCGGAGTTGGCGAGGATTGTTCCGGTGAGGCCGTGGCCATGGAGCCTCCCCGCGAGCGCGTTTAGGAGCGTTGATTTTCCGCTCCCTGATGGGCCCAGCACCGCTAAGATCTCCCCTGGGTACGCTATCCCCGTCACGCCTTTTAAAATAGTTCGCTCCTGCCTTGATCTTTGATCCGACGGTGAGGATTCGTGCGTAGCAAACAATCTCTTGATGCTCCCTCCGCTTCTTTGTTTGTCCTCTATCTTCAAGCGGTATGCCACGTCCATGAACTGCGTTGCATGAAGAGTTATTTTCCGATTCCGATTAAAAAAATGATAATTAGGTAAGGGAAAAGAACCGTTGAGGGTTGAGGGTTGAGGGTTGAGGGTCGACAATGACTTAGTCAAACTCATGATGACTCTGAGCTAGACACGAATATTAGTACGTTTAGTTATTGTTTGTAATAATAAATAAATTAAACATAGTACCTTCAGAGTGATGGGGTAAGAACAAGACAAAAAAGGTGGGAGGTCACGCGATTCTTGAGGGCTGTGTTTGGTGTTAGATGAGTCTCCATTTGGAGGAGTTTCTACACCACCAAACGCTGCTGCCGTTGGTGTTGGTGTTGGTGTTGGCATTACTATTTTTCTTAGTTTGATATTCTGTTTCCTTGCTCACTAGGGAGGAGAAAAGGGTACAAGTAGAAATGAAATATTGATGATAAGAATAAGGCAAGTGTGTTAGGGCTTCGGAGTTAGGAGTGAATGAAGTGAGAGGAACAAGGGATAGGAATACCATGGGGTATTTATGGAGGGATCAGAACCCATGGCACTGCCACGTTAAAGTGGAACTACCAATTTCGAATTGCTACGTGGCAATCATACACATGCACTTGGAATGGTGGAATGCTCCACTTCACATCCTCATACCTTTTTCTTTCTTTTATCTCTTTCCTTCTTTTTTCCCTCAGTTTTTGTTTTTCAAATCATAAAGTAACCCAAGTTTAACTTGGATTTTTATTTCTTTATTCCAAGAAAATACATCAACTACGTATCTTCAGCCGCTGTGCTCAATCTGTAAATGCTCGCAATTCTTAAATGTAATTCTCACAAAACTCATCCATTCTACTCACGGAACTGTTTATTTTATTTTTAAACAAAAGTATGATTAGAATTATGCTCCATACGTATTAGAAAATCAAACATTTTTCAGCATATATATATATATATATATACCTGAGATATTCATGTATGTTCAAGTGTTCAACCAAGCTTATCGGTTACGGAAGAGTTTATGTAGTAGGAGGCAAAGGAAGTGCATAATAAGCCAATTAATAACTGGAGGAGGCACTTGCATTGGAGAATCTTAAATAGTGTTGAGAAGTTGAAAAATGTACTGGCATGGTTGATGGTGTTGCCCATTGCCAGCATGAGATGAGTTCATCTGTACTGCGGGATATTTATCAGATCTCGATCGATTTTCTGATCAAATCTTAATGAACATAATAAAGTATTCTGTCCCTTTTTTTTATTTTTATTTTTTAATTTCAAGTAAGGAATAGGGTGGGTTGAACATGTGCCACGAGCAATTAGTAGGATACCCACTTTGAACTTGTAGCAACACATGTATCATGTATGGTCTTCTTCAAAGGGTTTGAACAAAAGTCAAACCTCCAACATCCTTTTTAGGACCTAGCATACTTTCATTACACACTCTTCTGCGTTCCTCAAGCTACATATTTGTTAACATACCTAAATCCATATAAATGTCTACATAATTAAAATTGTACATAACAACTCATATATGCATGCGTGATTAATTACATAAACTTGTATTATTTAACATAACCAAAAGATTTCATACACTTTTTTATTATAAACAAAAGTATAAAATACAGTATATAATTAGGTTGATTTAATTCGGTTTCAATAAATCATAAAAAATTAACCAAACTGTAGTTATTGTTAGAAAGTAGGATATTGTCGGCAAAAAAAAGGAAATAGGAGACTAATTAACAATGTAATAGCTATTCCTACTTTGACTACTAGGGTTAGGCATACTCTATAAAATTATTTGACAGGAAATAATTTTTATTTCCACATTTGATGATAGTAGAAACCTCTTTATAGAGATATTACATAAATAACCAAACTCGTGAGTCGTCTAAAATAAGTTCAATCGCAATTCCATCGATTAGTCAAGTGTGACTACGATTAAATTCATCATCAATATATTTAATAATTCCAATTCTACATGATTAATCAATATTGCATATATTTTTTTAGAGAGAAATTAAATAATTAAGTTTTCACTACGTCTTAATGATTTGGTAAGTACTCTTTAACTAATTAAGAACTGAAATTTAATCTTTATTTTAAATATGAAGTTGTGATTAAAAGTTTTACTTTATCTTTTTAGAGATTGACTAAGTAAATAATTTATATACTTCTTTATAAAATAAAAAAATAAAAAATTGTATACCTAGCGATGGTGAAAAGTCTATATTGAATCTTCGTTACGAAACACAAAGCAATTGATTATTTGATAACGACTGTATTCTTTTCCTAGCTAACAGCTACATATAGTCACAATGAATGAGAGTAGTTAGAAATTTTACATGAGTGACTCAAGTTATCATAGACTATCCACACAATGCACTCAGTTGCAATTCTAACAACTAACTATATATTTAAGTGTAATGATTAAGTTAATAATATTCACAACAAATATTTTTAAGTATAAAGAGTTCATTGTAATTAATTAATTAGTAATCCACAAATAAGATAAGAATTTTTTCATATTCAAAAATCAAACATATATTAACTGAATTAAACGCTTTATTAAAAAACTCTTTTTTCTTTATAAATTAAATCGACATAGCTAAGTAATCATAAATTTCTTTATATATAATATATATTTTATATCTTTCTCTCATTAGAATATAACAAAAAGTATTATTTTAAAAAAAACATTTCATTACTTTATTAAAAAAGGCAAAATAAAATATAAAAGATAGGATGAAAGAATTATAACATTTTGCTTGACAATCTTCTCCATTGTATGGCAGAAGTTGAAGCCATGAATCATGATGAAATGAAAGAAAAGAACTGAAATATATCATAATCAGAATTATGGCACGTAACATTCAAAGGGCACAAATACGAGAATTCATGGATGAGATATACAGAGGAGTGAGGAGGACATAGATATAAGAGTTAATCACGTATATATTGTTGGTGTAAAGTTTTTTACACTATTGTTAATAATATTTTTTATATTTTAATTTAATTAAATAAACAAATAAAAATACATTATTAACGACTCTGATTGACTGTTAATGTAAAAAAAATTCATACTAACAATATATAAGTGATTAACCATAGATATAATATAAAATTCTTTCTCTATATATCCATAAATGTTTGCTTTGGGCATGATGGTGATTTGAACGTTGAAATGGATGTCCATGTCATACCATAACTCACCTTCTCTTTCCATGAATGTGACTTATGAGTTATGAGACGACCTTCAGTTGAAACTAGCAAACCAAACCTTTCAAGCGTTGAAATAATTAATGTATATTCTTATATTCTTTTCGGGTTTTCGATTCAGAAAGAACAGTGGCGGCGTCACGCCAAAATCTCTTAAATTCAATGGTTCACAAACACTCATACAGCTAGTTATAAAGATGTTAAAATTGATTAATTGTTTTTGTTTCCATATATAGCTTTTATGCTAAAAAAAATACATCAACTGTTTCAAGTTTAAACTTCACTGTATATGAAATTGAAAAATTATATAGTCCTGAATCCTGATCAGTGACTTAAATAAGTTTAGATTTTGTACATTATTTATCTATAAGTTTTTATATTGTTAACCAAATAAAAATCACCTTAAATAAAACTCTTACACCCTAATAATTGTGTCATAATATTTTTTACTTTTGTAATAATTATTTTAAATTTATATTTAAACATAATTAGTTGATCGTATAACTTCTTTTACACCAAAATGTATATTATAAATTAAACTCATGTAATTTTCAAATGAAAAACTTTAAATTGTATTGATTTAAATTCTAAAAAATAATTGAAAATAATCTTACATGTTAATCTTCCAAATTATTTTAAATTTATTTTATACAATAAAAAATTTATTAATTTTGTTAAACTGTTTTCTTTTCTAATTTTGTGAAATTAATTAATTTTTATCATTTTAAAAATCAGTATTTTTTTTATTAATCTAATTTTTAATTTTATAAAGTTTTCATCTGTAAATTTAAAAATATTTTTTTAAAAAAAAGTAGTTATATTTATCAAATTTACTAATTTTATTTATTTAAAAATAATATATTTTTTTAAAATTTATTTTTAAAAAATGTTATAAATTCTTTTTTGAAACTGGGAATAGTTGGGGTTAAGTAAATAATTTCAAATTTAATAATTTTGGTTATTTTAAAAATTTACAAATGCTTGTTTGAACTTTTGAAAATGTTAAAAGTTATTTCACGAAACTTAAAATAGAATACTTCAATTCAAAAATATTAATTCTATTCATTTAAAAATCATTATACTTTCCTTATTGAAATTCTAAACCTTTAAAAAAAGTTATAAATATCTTTTTAAAATTTCGGAAACACTTGAGGTTAAACTAATAGTTTAAAATTTATTAATTTATTTTTAATTACTTACTAGAATTTAAAATTTGTCTTATTAGTGTTATCTTTATACATATGTTATTCTTAACTAGTAAATTAAACCCTTTTTTTTGTCAAAATTTTAATTGATTTTTTTGTGTGGATGAATTTACCCTTCTCTCAGCTGTCGAAAAAATTTACCCTTCTCTCAATTCATATGCGCTTCACAGGTGTTCCCGTTTTAGTAAATTTTAACATTAAACTCGATTGTATTAATTATGTAGATAATTTATCCAAAAATGTCATCCGTACTTAGAGATTCTTTATTTATTTTCTTTTATTATTATCGAAATGATAGTAAAAGTTTGAATGGTTTTCCTTAATATATACGCTCATTGTCTTACTTTATAAAATTCAATAATGTTTAACATAATTAGAAAATAATTATTTTGGTCAAGAGTTTGATTTTTTATATATATAAATGGTAAGAATTTTAAAAGAAATGGTAATTCTTGTTCAATATAATGTTTTATCTGAAAATTTATTAAATACATTAATTTTGACAATTTCACATAAAATATGTATTACATTATATATCATATAAGAGAAATTCTTGATAAAAAAAATATCTGACTTTATTAAAAAATCTCATAGGACGTCACTAAATTAACTTATGCCATAAATAGTGTGTGGCCAAATCTTTTATTTCCTATTCTTTTTGTTTGTGAATTGCTTTGAAATCAGTGTTTGGTGAATGGGGAGAAAAATCCATTCATTTAATGTGTCAAAATCTTCATTCGGTATTTTATTTTCTTTTCTTCATTTGTGGGTTTCTTTGGGGCGGTGAGGTTTGAGGCGGTGAGACATGAATTGAAATTTTAAGATGCATTTTCCGTAACAAATTAATTTGTATGGAAACATTTTCTGTAATAGTGAACAATTGCTTTCAATTATTGTTCCCATAATTTGGACGTCCTTTCAATATTGATTGTAACACGTTTCATCTTTTCTTCTTCTTATCTTTTGTTTTATCATAACAGTGTAATACTCCCTTTTTATATTTTGGTTAATGTTTTAAAAGAATGTATTTTAGTTATTAATTTTACATTATTAAGCATTAAATTTATTTTTCTGTTAGAATATCTTTAGTT